TCTTGGTACACGATGTAACTACAGAAGAGTCAATTTTTAAATAGGAAAAATATCGAAACTCTTTGGTCATTTTTGAGCGAGATGCTAACGGTCTAATCAGATTCAATGATCTATGCTAAGCTGCAGCTAGAAGTGCTACCGCCAGACCCGGAGATCGACTGAATGGATTCGAAAACGGTAAAACTCAACTGTTTAACTCTAGGGGAGTTGGAAAATTAGCCTATTTAAAAAAATAGTGGAGTGTTCCTTTAAGATCCGCATGATTATACTGCATGATACCGCATGATCTGACGGAAACCAGAGGTTAACAATTTCAAAAAAGGAAGTCTGCCGTGGAAACTCTCGAAAACCGACAAAGTCTGAACCCTAATAATGGATCAGATGTCATTTTAAAAACTCCACCTTTCAAAAGTTTGGGGTCGGTTAAGATTTTTCAATGTTAAAATAAAAGGAGTCTCTTATGCTCACCAAGGCTGCATTTATTGTATAAAAAATACAATAAAAACAGCAATATTGTGAAATATTTGTATAATTTAAAATAACTATGGCCTATTTGAATATATTTTAAAATGTAATTTATTCCTCTGATCAAAGCTGAATTTTCAGCATCATAACTCCAGTCTTCAGCATCACAAGAGAATCTTGAAGAGAAATCATTCTGATATGCTGATTTGCAGCTCAAGAAACATTTCTTATTATTATCGACATTGAAAACAATATTGAATGCAAGATTAGCATATTCTCAACGGAGCTTTAATATTTTTGTGAAAACCACCATGATGTAGTTTTGATTCTTTGATGAATAGAAAAAAGCATTTATTTGAAATAGAAATCTTTTGTAATATTTATAATGTTATTACTGATCATTTTAATGCATCCCTGCTGAATAAAATAATGTCTTTTAAAAAAAAAAAAACTTTTAAAAAGTAGTGTACACACTCCTCACAAGTCATGCCTATAAAACCTTACTTACCGCAAATGCAATACTAGGTGTTAGTTAAAACATCCACTGTGTGCTATTTACTTCTTTCCCAACATGAATACATCCTTTATGCTCTAATAATAGAGATATGACATTTGGAATGCAGCGCTTTTTTCCAACACTAATATATGACCACGCTTTAATGAAAACCACAGACATATCTCCTAACAGTGCATTTTGTGCCGCTCGTGTTATTTAGATACCTAATTATTGCATACTTAGATAGATTGGCCATTGAAGAGAGCTGCTAGCTTAAAGATGAGTATAAATTATGCCTCTCTCTTATACATTCAGTCATTTCCTGGCATTGTCCTTTAGCTCCTCAGCGTTAATGTGCTACCTTGGCGAAGCCATTAGCTTGACTGTAAACACTAATATTTCTTTTTAAACAGCTCTATTTAAAGCCATTATTTGAGTATGCGGAATCTAAATAATATCTAAATATTTGAGTATGCGGAATAAGGAATCTAATATTTTTTTATCTAATATACCGTAAAAAATGAAGCATCTGTTTGGTTCATTGAGTTTCAATGTTAATGAAAACAGAGGACAAATAAGTCCCTGATTCAGTTCGGTCTCTGTCATCTCTGTTTTTATTGGCTGGAAAGTCTCTCCATCAATTTCCTGCAGTCTTTTCCTTTTCCCATCGTTTTTGTCTCTGTCACAGTCGAGCCGTTTTTATCGGTTTTTCTGTGCATTTGCAATCCCTGGCGTGCACTGACAGGAGCAGCGGCCAGTCGACTGGAAAAAGGCTTAATTACAGCAGGCGTTTAAAATGGCGATGGACGGCACACATGTTTAACCTTCAACCGCTCACTGTCTGCATGTCAAGTCAGGCTATCACAGGCGCATGGTTTTCCAGCACAAGTTTGGGGTTTGTTACCAGTAGGTTGCTGGTTTGAAACCAAAAATGAGTGAGCAATGAACTGCTAGGTTAGATCAGTTCCTGTAACGAGTGTACTGCAAGTCACTTATGATAAGAAGAATCTCTAAAACCTGACAAGAACATGCCCAGATCACATTTCACACAAAAATCATACCAAAATAAATAAATAAGATATTATATTTTGCTTAAAGAAAACAAAGCCGATTTGCATTAACATTAAGATAATTTGCATTGTCATATTTTTTTTTTAATTAAATCAGGGTTATTATAGTTAACAAAAAACTAAAACTGAAACAAAAATTAAAATTAAAACCATAAAAAAATTATTTCTTGAAATAAAATAAATGTTAACAAAATATAAAAAACATTTTATTTTAGCTAGTTGCCAAGGCAACATTTCTCATTTTTATTTAGTTTAACTTGTACTAAAACAACTAAGATTAAAACTGAAATAAAAATTAAGAAAAACTGTGTAGACACACACACACACACACACACACACACACACACACACACACACACACACACACACACACACACACACACACACATATATACACAACAAAAATACTAAAACTTCAGCTTAAAATTTAAATGAAAACAGAAAATATAAAAATAGAAACTGATTCAAATTATAAATAAAAATATAATAGTTTTTCAATTGTAATAAAATGACATTTACTGTAACATGTAGGAAAAAAATGTACTTAAATGTCATGAAAATACTGTTACAATGCATAAGCTTAATGGACCTAAATATACAGTAAGTTTAATTTTTTTTGAGCATAATATATTTCCTTACTTTTTCTTTTAGCATCCAAAAGTTGCATGAAAATGAAGCTGCATATTTTCAATGTTTCGTGTAGTGCAATATCAACTGGTATTCTGAAAGTTAACTATTTATTATTAGATAAAATATTACCAGCATAATATTTACCTTAATCTTAGTGTTGATGGTGACAAAGAGAAGTGGATGTAGAGGTCCGATAGCTGGTGCATCATGTGCACACAAACTTATTTTCACTGGCACTAAAATCACTTTAGTGTTTGTTTGAATGTGGTCCTCTTGCCTTCTGATGCTGAGTACGTTTAATCTAAATCTGCATCTACTGGGATATTGTTAGAAGGTTTACACGTTGAGTGTGAATATTTAGAGCTGTGATGTACAATAACTTGTGGACCTTCTAGTAAACTATATGTTAGCTCTGATTATCTTCAAGACCACATGATGATGGTTGTCTTGCTGTGTGGAGATCTCATTGTTTGTTTTATTTGTAGCTGTAGGGCAGGAGTCCTGGAGATCCAGCAGCAGTCTTCAGCATTACGCAGAGGAAGAGCTGGTCACTGCGCTGATGAACGCTCAGCCCATCAATAGCACCCCTTGTCCGTTCACACCATGCCGTGGCAGAATGTCATCACAGAGGCTGTGTTTCTCAGGTAATTTGCTTTCATTTCTTGTAAAACAACAGACATGGGTGTAGACACCAGATTTAATTTGATGTGAAATGTGAATGAAAAAGAGGCTGTGAAGAATATAACTTCATTCTGTTCCGTATGTCATACTGTCCCGTTGACATGTTGTGTCATATCTTGTTTCTCATCATTTTATGCCTGCTCTCAGACTGTCTTATCAAAAAAGGCCACAAATAAACATTTTGAAAACAAAATGCTCAGAGAAATTCTGGAAAACATGGGATAAAAAAAAATATGGGATCAGTATGGTTTTTTAAATCTTTTTGAAACAAGTTTCTTATGCTAACCAAGGCTGCATTTATTTGATCAGAATGCAGTAATATTGTGAAATATCATTACAGTTCAAAATAGTTGTTTTCTCTCTTAATATATTCTAAAATGTAATTTATTCCTGTGATCAAAGCTGAATTTTCAGCATCATCACTCCAGTCTTCAGTGTCACATGATCCTTCAGAAATCATCATATTATGCTGATTTGCTGCTCAGGAGACATTTCTGATCATTAGCAATGTTCAAAACTGTTGTTCTGTTTCATATTAAAACCATGATATATTGAAAATATGAACATAAAAGTAAAAAAAAAAAAAAAAACGAATTTAAAAATAAAAATCTTTTGTAACATTATAAATGTTTTTACTGTCACTTTTGATCAGTTTGAATGCATTCATACTAGCTGAGTAAAAATGAATTTCTTTCAAGAAAATAAACTATTATTATAATATAACACACAAGTCGTATGAACTACTTTTATGGTGCTTTTTGAGTTTGAAAGCATCTGGTCACTGTCTGTTTTTATTGAATGGACAAGAAAATTTAAATTTTTGAGTGTTCCAAGGTAGAAAGAAACTCAAACTGGCTTGGAACGACATGACGATGAGCAAACAATGACAGATTTAACATTTTTTGGTTGAACTGTCCCTTTAATCGAAACTACCTATCGTATTAATCACATCCTGTGGTCTATTTCCCAAATCTAGGCCCTTAGAGTAAAATAAAGTCTTCGTCTCTCTTCTTAATTTCCCTTCTGTGTGCAGACTTAATCCAGACTTATGCAGCTAAATCTGTGTTTAAGATGTTGAGCCTGTCTGATGTCATATCTTTGCCGTGACTAAATGATAATTTACAGAGAGCCTCCGCCAACCCTTCGGACACGGCGTTATGGCCAACGGGACATCAATAACATGGCTGTAGAAGAGTCGTGCTGACGCTCAGCCGTGGCGTGATTTATTGGCTTGTGCCCGTAATTAAAGCCGAGCTGATTCCTGAGCTTCCTGCGCCAGCACACGCGGCTGAGGTTTCATAAAGAGATTACTGTGTGTTGCCGCGTGCGGGAGTGCAGGGAATGTGGCCAACGGCATGCTCCTCAATCTCTCTGCTCAGCTTAGATCAGCTCAGCTTGCTAGCTCGGTTTATCAGTCTTGCTTTCTCTACCTCTCGACACGTCTTCCTCTCTGTCTCTCGGCTCATCACTTGCAGGTCTGCAGAGGAGGGAAAAATAATCTGTTTAACAGCATGACAGCTGTGATTTCGGCTGGTGCAAATCAAAGCGTCAGATATCCGTCCATGCATTCTCTTTTTTTCTCTCTCTCTCCCGTTCTTTCTCTATATATCTCATATACTTGTGTAAGGTTCGACACGCTAGATTGAGCCTTTTGCATCAGAGGATACTCAAAGCCGTCGGCCTCCCGAGTCCAAATCATGGGAAGCGATATCAGCTAATACATGATCACAAATGCTGTGTCACCTGGGCATTTCAATTGTGAACTACTCAGTTTTTAAATATATCTTTTCAGTGAAGGAATCTGATTTAGCTTCTACAGTATTGCTCAAATGTTTAAATTAATAATTTTGTGCAAGGATGCATTCAGTTGATCAAAAGTGACAGTAAAGAGTTTTATAATGTTACAAAATGTGTCTATTTCCAATAAATGCTGTTCATCAAAAAATCCTGAAAAAATGCATCATGGTTTCAATAAGAATATTAAGCCACACAATAATTTTAAGCCATTTTCAACACTGATAATAATCAGAAATGTTTCTTGAGCAGCAAATCAGCATATTAGAATGATTTCTGAAGGATCATGTGACACTGAAGACTGGAGTAATGATGCTGAAAATTCAGCTTGGCATCACAGGAATAAATTATGTTTTAAAAAATATTACAATAGAAACCAGTTATTTTAAATTGCAATATTATTTCACAATATTACAGTTTTTATTGTATTTTTGATCAAATAAATGCAGCCTTGGTGAGCATAAAAGACTTCTCAAAAATCAGGCACAACCCAAACTTTTGAACAGTAGTGTATGCACTGACATACATTTTTGAGTTATATCAACTTAATAAATGACTAGTACTGTCTTTTTATTGCTTGATAAATCCCAGAAATTGACAAAATAATAGATCTGCTGATATAATTAATGGAGAAAATGCTTATGATACTTAAACACTGTTTTTGAAGGAATCTGATGAGTAAATGTTTTGATTGGCTTCCCAATTTATGCATACAAACTCACTGGTGTACTCAATGATGTTACTAAAGGCACTAAACAAATCTGAAGCAGTATTTTGGTGAACTGATTCAAAAAGTTTCAAAAGTCTGAATCAGTTTCCTCACTACTACTGTAATGTTAGCTGAGCGCTGTTTGGTGAACATAGAGTCGTCTAATTGGAGTTCATTTCACTATCAGCAAGAGAAAGATCACACAAGACAAGAAGAAGCTAGGGAATTTGATGAAAAAGTCACATAGAAGAGAGAGAAGTGTGTGAGTGTATTATTGTGATTTGCTGGATCAGAGGACGGCGGGTGACAGTAAATAATACTGACTCCGTTAAGCCGCCAATCCCAGCGCTGCCTTTCTGTGTGTGATTTTCTGTCAGACGCTGTAACATCTCTCTCTGTTTCCCTTTCCCATCATCTCTTTATCTCGTTAGTCACAGTTATTAGTAGTATAACTGTAGGCAACCATCACTATTACTGTTGCTCATTCTTGGCGTTAGTCCTCTAACCGTAATTATCAAACTTTGATGTGTAACTCTTGCTGACCATCAAATCAGAGGGTGTGTTAGCAGCTGTTTTCTTCGTGTTTCCCTCATAATCTCATCCAGCTATTGTTATTCTTTTTTAGGCACCATAAGCAGATGTTCTCCCATCTCTTCTCGGCCCCTGAGTGCCGGGACTCATCGTCCAGACCCGTCAAACCGGCCGCTGTCTCGTGCCGCTCTGGAGATCATGGAGGTCCAGACTGTGGAACAGCTCGATCTCCAGGACTCTGATGAGGATGAGGAGGATTTCCTGGCTCTGGCCTGCCTTGAGGAGGAATTCAGAAATATGAGCACTACACAATTAGATGAGGGTGAGGATGGACACATTCCAGTGGATGAGATTTGTCTGGACTGCAGTTACACAAATTAAGGATTTTGAGTGAATTTTTTTTTATAAGTAGTAATAATTGATAAAAAAGTGTAATATAAATAGAGGACAAGAAGAAATAAAAGTTAGGTCTACAGTTGTAGTTAGTCTATTAAACAGCTATATAGTATAAAACGTCTTTCATAGTATTTAATATATCAATTTTAGCAATTATTTTTCTTTCTTTTTTACATTATATTGGAAAGTTTGACTAATTATTAAGGGCTATTAATGTTGCATTATGCAAAAAAAAAAAAATGTATTAAAAGAGTGAATTCTGACTAGGGATGCACCGAAATGAAAATTCTTGGCCGAAGCTGAAACCGAACAAAATTAAACACTAGGCCGAAGGCCGAATACCGAACACGGTTTTTCGAGTTTTTTTCCCCATGTATTTTGCCACATTTTTTTTCACCATTGCATAAAATGTGCTTTTTACTGTTTTGTCTTGCTTTTCAAAGAAAACAAATCAATTACAAAACAACAATTTAAAAATATTTAACACTGAACATTTTTAACATTCTAGCAGACACTTTACCAACAAAGCACAATTTAACTTAAAATTAATAAGTTAGTAAAATAATTTTTGACCATCAGACCCCCTTCTTGAATCAGGCATGTATTTTATTTATTTATTATTATTATTTTTTACTGTACAATTAAAAGCAGCCTTGCTGAGAAGAGACTTCTTTTAAAACATTAGAAAATATTACAGATCCTAATTTGAACACTATGTGTGAATGTTATAATAAATGTATTAAAACAGAGCTGTTGTAATGATTATTATCATTATTATTGTCTTACTTTT